TAGGATAGAAACAAGGTAGTTCTATACTCCCTCTCTCTCTATATATGCATACATACATACACACACACATACACAGACATACATATACACATACATACATACACATACATATAGACATACGTACACACATACATACATACACACACACATGCATACATATACATACTTACTATAGAGTAAAGAACAAGGTAGTAAGTTACAGGAAGATAGATTCTAGTTGAAAGTTAGGAAGAAATTTCCTAACAGTAAGAGCAACAGTGCAACGAATTGTCAAGAGAAATTGTGGGTTCCCCTGGCTTTGATGTCTTCTGGTAGAACCTACTAGATACTGAGGATGCTTTAATTAGAATTTCTCCACTGAGCAGGAGTTTGGATTCAGGTGCCTGAATTTCAGTCACTCATCCTGAAATTTCCAGCTGAAGAATACAATTAGCAAGAGAACATGGCCTTATCCTGTTAAAACTGAAGGCTAGATGGTGCTTTCTGTGGCAATTCACTAAATGTTTGTGAATAAAGGAAAGTCACTGTCCATGAGAGGGTGACATTTCAGTAACCATGTTTCACTGAAACATAAGGTATTTTGAAGCAACTTCATTCATTACAACGAAGGGGGCAGTAGCTAAGTAATATTAATAGTCTACTGCTTCTTTTCCCTCTTTGCAGGGCCAGCTCTAGACGTTTTGGTGCCCTAGCCAAAGTCATATTTGGCACCCTCTATGGTTTGGTTCATCTTCCGATTTTGTTAGAAATTTCAAAAAGGCACTCTCTTGTTTCTTTTTTTCTTAGACTTTTTGAGCTTTACAGATTTTCAGCCCCAGATGGTTTTTAAATTTTTTCTTGGACATCTTCATCCTATTTACACTGTGAAATTATATTTAACCCTCAAGCAGGTGTGCTGACTCACAAAGTGCGCCGCTACTACTTTTCACTTTTTTATTGTGTTTTTGGGAAATCTTTTCAATTTTGGTGCCCCCTAAAATTTGGTGTCCCTAGGACAGTACCTACTCAGCCTTAGCCTAGAGCTAGCCCTGCCTCTTTGGAAGGGCATGAACATGTGAATATCACTATTTTACCTTGAGATGACAGAGAGTGACTCTGAAAATTTATGCAATAGAAAGCTAGTCTTTCAGAAATACTCTGTGGACCCTCCTGAATGTCATCAGGACTTTGTCAGTTCCAGAAGGGTAACTACATTTAGCCTCTTGCAAAAACTGGTGTTTCACCTGTGGTACCTTAAAAATTAAACATCAATTCTCTACTCATTCACATTGTTAAAATGCAGCAATTCTACCCAAATGTGGATAACTCTATCCTTATGCTACCCCCAGATAAACTACAATAAACTAACATGGGTTGGGCCTATCTTCCTCTGACCAATATGCTTAAGAAAGCAAAAAAATTTAGCCAAAGAGCAACCTTGGTGTACGTATATATGGTGCTATGGCTATTTATCACTGTTTTATTTTCAAAATATTGAATGTACATGTCACTGCAGAATTTTTTTCTGCTATATGTAAGATGCCTCTATTAATGATATTATGGTGCAAAAATCCAAATGTGCTAATCAAATAAAAGCATACAGTACCTCATTCAATCAAGCATGTTTATTGACTTTGTGAGGTCCATTACAGATATCTTCCCCTACCTATAAGCCTACACATCAGACTGCAGCATTTGATCTGAAGAATCTGCAGAATGCTTTTCTCTGTTCCCATCCACATTTCCAATATTGAAAGGGAACACAATTAGTGGAATACTTAGTGGATGGTTTTGCTAACATCGGTGTAATAGCTGGAGTTTGATAGCTATAAAGTGGATATATTTCTACATTCATTACATTTGAAACTTTAGGTGGCCTGTACAGTTTTCTCTTGTTCTTTATTTTCTATTGTAAGAAGATTCCAAAAGATAAGCAGAATACCAGAATACAAAACATAACCAATGGAAAAGGGCCATACAATACTAAAAACAATTAATGAACAACAAAAAATAAAAACTAAACCAAGCCAATAAATGAAAGGGAAAAAAGAGACACCCCCCCCCCAAAAAACATCAAAAGACCCTTACAAAACTGAACAAATTAAACATCTAAAATATATGCTACAACTTAACTGTAAATATATGTATAAGAGTAAACTGGAGCTTGGGCATTTCATCAGTTTCATCCATTGTGAGCCTATGTCTCCAAAAGCATGATGACACTTAGAACTTGAAATCTACATTTGTTCTAAGCAATGTCCATGTTAGCAAAGCTGTTTCAATTAATAAATGCCCTCTTGATTCCCTGCTTGCACCATTCCAATTATGACAGTGGATACCAGAGAGCAGGTGATTGGCATTCATGCCTACTGCTGAGGGAGAAAACAATTATGAATTTAATTTGGAAAATGACCAATGAACAACACAATGTGTTCTCCCTTTGGTGCAGTAGTAAGGCACCAACAGTGCATTGGGTCAAAGCATCAAAAAAAAATTTTTAAGTTTAGTTTCATTTTTTTACATACTTGGACCAGCTATGTATATTCAGAGAATGCTACCATCCTGTATATTTGTTATTTTTTCCTTGCCATTTGTATGAAATGAGAAAACGTTTTGATATTAAAACAGATAAGCTCTAGTAACCACTTCCATAAATATTTGGAAGATATGGTTATGAAGTTACTTTGCCTCAATAGGAACTAAATACCTCTATTTGTCATTATAAGTAAAAACAACCAAGGAGAGATCATTCATATTCTTGGAAGTCCTAAGAAAGTCCACTTTGGGGAAAACGCTTAGTACAACTTATCCATTTGCACATCCAAATTGTTTATTGTTCCAGAAATCTTTGCTTCCACTTGCAAATGTGTCTCAGTACAGGATATCAAGTGGGCTTCTTTTTTCAAGGAGGCAAGTTTGTTTTAAGTATGGGGTAGAGTGTGCCTCAGCCCTGGCAATGCAGGTATGTCCACATTCAATATTTAAATATATTTTATTATATCAAACTAATTAACTGAAAAAAAGTATATACCCAAACAACACTATAAGGAAACATCACAAAATAAATAATTATTTAACCATTTTTTTAAAACTGGAAAATTATAAATAGAACAACTCAAAAAATTGATACACTTGCTCAGAAATCATCCTTGCTGCTTTGTCAAAAGACACCTCCCTCATTCAAATGGTGACCAGAAATGTACTACTGCAGATTATCATTAGTCTAGCCAAATATTTGTGAATTATCTTTGAAAAATCTTAGTGAACCGGTAGAGTGCCAAGTGATGGACGAGAGCAAATGTTATCCAAAAATAAGAAAAAGCAGGATCCAACAAGCTACAAAACTATTCAGAATGCCATAAATCCTGGGGAAGATTCTATCCCAGACCATAAGGAGATGATCCATAAGCTCCTTGAAAACAATCTGGCATTTATTTATTTTACAATTATTAGCACAGTGCCTCTTCAAATAACTCCAAGTGGCTTAAATATATCCCATACAGAATTGCCAGCCAGGCTGTTGGGTTCAAGCAGACAAGGAGCCCTAGTGGGACATAGTGGAGAGATTCAGGCAGGGCAGTTCTACCATCCAGAGCCTAAAGGGGTATCTCAGAAAACAGAAAAGGCAGTTTGACATCGGTAAAACTTTGCCTCCTAAAGCAAATTGCCTGAACTCAGCAACATATTTCTTCTTCTATTATTATTATCATGGTTGGTTGCACGGTCAGCCAGATGTTTAGACTGGATTTGGCATTTTTATCTACCTATCGAGTCCTTCCCAAGGACCTGGGATAGGCAGATGTCACTGTTGGTGGTATTATTATTATTATTATTATTATTATTATTATTATTATTATTGTATGGGTAATCTACAATTAGATTCACAAAGATGGGTGAAAATTTAATAATTCAAGTCCTAACCAAGGACCTAAGAATTATTAAAATAGCATCTGAGGATATAGGCAGTTCCAAGCATGGTATTTTTTTGTAACAATAGGGTGTTCAGGTCCAATAAATTCAAAATTGGTATAACAGCAGATTTCTTTTTCCATAAGCATTCAACTTCAATCTGCAAGACACAGTACTTTGTAATTTTTTTCAGATTGTTTTTCCTCAATCCTAGCATCACCCGGTACAGCAAATATCAATGAACCAGACTTTCTTCTTTTCAGTGACTGTTATATCAAGCATGTTATGAACAACAAGGTGCCTTGCTCTTTGGATTTTAAAGTCCCACAGGATCTTACCCTGCTCATTTTCTAAAACCTCCTCAACTTGATGGTTTTATGTAGTGGTTTTTGCTACATTCAATCCAAACCTCTGGCAAAGTTTCCAATGATTAATTTTGGCAACTCGGTCATGACACTGCTTATAGCAAGTTTGTGAAATTTTGCTGCAGCGGCTGATCAAATGGTCAGTTGTTTCATTCTTTTCACTACAAAGGTAACATTTATTGTTTGTTACATGATTTTCACTTTCATGCAATTAGTCAGCAAAGCTTGTTCTTGAAATGCTAAAATAAAGTCTTCAGTTTCTTTCTTTAACACTCCTGATCTTAACCAGCTTCATGTGGGGGTTTTATCGGCTTTTCCTTCTATGTCCTTTGAGTATTGGCCATGCATTGGCTTGTTCTTCCAATTAACAAATTGGTTTTCAATTGTTTCTTTTCTATACTTAGCCTTCACCTTTGTTGTTTTCAAAAGCTTGCTTTGATTGACTTCCTTCAATAAGGATTTTTCGCTTTTCTTAACATAGTCATTCAAGCCATGTTTTTCTTCTTCCACAGTTTGTTTCACCTATAGGAGTCCTCTGCCTAATATT